AGATGCACAAGAATACCCTAACTTGCAGATAGTACCCATTTGACCTAGCCTCGATGGCTTGATAATCAAAACTCGACTAGAGAAAGATAAAAAACAAACAGTTTTTGATATTGCTACAATTTGACATATACTCATTGAAGTAGTAGCTCAAAATACCAACAGACGGAAGGAGTCTTGACATCAAGTATCAATGCTATCCCCTCTGGATACAGGGTAGATAGGGATGGACAACTTAGACATTGGCTACCTAAAATGAGGGGGTGATAAAGGCACAAAGTGACTGGGTTACAAGGTTTCAAGGGGGCGATTAGTTTAATAGTGTGGTGGGTAAAAAGAGTTCCCACAGAATAGTTTTCATCTTATCTAAATGGGTCTGGTGAAAAGAGATGGGGATAAGATTCTTAAGATTCAATAGTGAGTAATTGTTACCATAAAAGTTTGGTAACAAAAACAGGGGAGTAGTTAATCTTACAATGCAGAAACAGAAGACCCTAGGACCATCAAGGGAGAAGAGAGTACAAGCAGAATGCGGGACCCGATCCCAAGAAGCAGTGACACCAGAGATAGAGGCAGAGATGGGGCCATGGAGAGAGGGAGCAGCTGAGGCCTCTGAATTCATGGAATTTAGAGGGACTGAGAGCTGGCGGCCAGAAGGCAGGCTTGCAGAATGTGCCCTTGGTGGTTTACATTATTATACATGCCTGAGTGGTTTGTTTGTTTTAAAGAGCTTAAATGAATACTCTAAACTCATGGTACACAGAGGGGATTATTATCAATATAATGAACCAAAGTATATGATTTGTTAAATGTAAAACTGATGATCTGCTTTGTAAACTTTCACTCAATTCACAATAAAAGCTTTAAAAAAAAAAAACTGACTTTATGGCATATAACCACCACCCCTCCATGATTGTATAGGTCAAGTTCATCAAATTGTAACAATTTACCCTCGTTTCCTTTATCAAAAACAGTTTGGTTCTTTTGTTGTTGTTGTTTTTGTTGTTTTTTATTGTCCTCTAGTTGAGTTCTGATTATCAAGCCATCAAGACTAGGTCATTTGGGTGCTATCTGCAACTTTGGGTATTCTTGTGCACCTCCTCTCACTCCTTATCAGCTGATGCTCTAGCCCTCTGTGGCTGTGTCCTTGTCCATAGGCTCAGGTGTCTCCAAGTCTCACCACACTTTGGACCAACCAGCCCTTCCTCTTCTCTTCTCTCATCTCCAGGTCAGCGGGAGTCTGTGGAATGTAGTTGAACTCAGCCTGTTTCTTCATTGCTGCCTTTCCCCCTCATCCACTCACCAGTAGACCAATGTGGTTGTCAGCCAGTTTACATGCCTGTTCATGTGTTCCCTTTGAGTTTCAGTCTTAGAGTAGGGCTATTCCTGAAGGAACTTGATTGCTTGCTTTGATGGCTTCCCGGCAAACAGCTTGCTTATTCTTGTAGTAGAGTCATACAGCCACTTTTGTTTTGGGTTTTTCCTGATGATCGTTCTTTGAAGATGTATCTTCTGTCGCGCTAGCTGTTCCAGACTGGTCTGCTTGTCCTTTCTAGTGGGAATGTCCCACCTCAGAAGGTTTTGGATGGGGCTCAGGATTCCACCTAAGGTCCTATACACTGCAAAGGCTCCGTAGGAGGCTTATTTCACTGGGCAAATTCTAGAACCCCCTTTAGGTATTCCAGTCAGTTATAGGCTGAAGACGGGCTCACAAGCTTTCTGTAATCATGTTTCCCAACATTCCTTTCTGTCCAACTCAGGTGTCCATTTTACAATAGTAGTCAAGGGAAATCAATATACAAAAGACAGTCAAGCATTTTAGTATTATTTCCCTTCTTCAAAGTATGCCTAAATCCCTGTATCACAGAGCCCTGTTCTTCCAAGGTTGAGCATGCATCACTGTTTACCTCTGTCCCACTTAGCCCATGCAAACCTAAGTGCTCTTGTCTACCTTGTTCTTCCACCCCCACCACTTTTTCTTTAGTTCTTTCAGCACTTCTCTATGTTCAAGAGCAAGTTTCAGAGTCTCTTCTGACATCCATTTTGGTCTTTTCTTTCCTGTTGTTTGTTTTTTTGTGTTGTTTTTTTTTTTTTTTTAAGTGACCTTTTGCTTTCTACATGTGTGATGTTCTTGACATCACCCCACAACTCCTCTGGTCGTCAGTGTTTAGGGCATAAAATCTGGTTTTGAGATGGCCTCTGAAATCAGATGGGATATACTCCAGGTCATATTTTGGCTCTTAGGGGATCATTTTCATTTCCTTAGCTTCAGTAATTTGAGCAATTGATGATTTGTTCCACAGTTGTCCCTGGCCCTAATTTAACTGGAGATGTTGAGCTTCTCCATTATCTCTTTTCACAGATGTAGTCTATTTGATTCCTGTGTATTCCATCTGGTGAGGTCTACATGTATAGTTGCTGTTTTTGTTATTTTAACAAGGTATTGCAATAAATAAGTCATTGGTCTTACCAAATTAAGATTTCCAATGTTGTTTCTATCACCAAGACCATATTTTTCAACTACTGATCTTCCCTCTTTATTTGCAGCTTTCACATTCCAATCAGTAGTAATTGTCAGTGTATCTTGATTGTGTGTTTGATCAATTTCAGACTGAAGAAATTGGTCAAATTCTTTGATTTCTTCATTACTGGCTTTAGTGGTTGGTGTGTAAATTTTAATAATAGTCATATTAACTGGTCTTCCTTGTAGACATAGGGGGTGTTACTGTATTATAGACAACATTGTACGTCAAGACAGATCTTGAAATGGCCTTTGATGATGAATCTGACACCATTTTCCTCTTCAATTTGTCAGTCCTACTATAGAAAACCTCATGATTAACCAATTCAAAATGGCCAGTAACAGCCCATTTCAGCTCACTAATCCTAGGATATCAATCTTTTTGTTATCAGAAATTTCATTTTTGACAACTTTCAATTTTCCTGGACTCATACAATCCACGTTCCAATTAATGGATGTTCTTCTCATTTCAGCAAATGAAGGTCCTGAAACCTTTGTTCCATTTACATCATTAAGGTCACCTAACTTTTAGGAGGTAATTCTTTGCCAGTCGTATTTTGAGTGCTTCCCAACTTGAGGAGCTCATCTTTCAGCTCAGTCTTCCAGTGCTGTTCATAAGGTTTTCAGGGTCTTCCTCTCCTTCTTCCCAGTCTGTCTAAGTCTGGAGCTCCACTGAAACCTGTCCACCATGGGTGACCCTGCTGGTATTTAAAATACCAGTGGCATAGCTTTCAGAATCACAGCACCACACAAACCACCACTGTATGACAAACTGACAGACAAATGAAACAGACTTAATTTGGGGGCATAATATAATTGTGTCTAAGATGTCATTTTGGGTTTCTTTGCACAGGGGTCTGTCCTCCAGCCTCAGCAGATGAGACTTTTGAGCATCATCTGCAGCGCCTAAGAAAACTCATAAAAAAGCGTTCTGAACTGTATGAAGCTGAAGAGAGAGCCCTTCGAGTTATGCTGGAAGGAGAGCAAGAGGAAGAGAGGAAAAGAGAATTGGAAAAAAAACAAAGAAAAGAAAAGGAGAAAATTTTACTTCAGAAGCGTGAAAATGAATCCAAGTTGTTTGGGGATCCAGGTAAGTTCCTCTGTAACCAGTGGAGAAAAGGAAAATGCTAAGTTGACTCTTCTCCACTTCATCTAATGGTGATAAAATGGATGATCTCAGCTCATTTAAGGGTGGTTATTCTGTCAGGTGCTGTCCAGTCAATTTTAGACTCATAGCCACTTCATATGACAGAGTAGAACTGCCTCATGGGGCTTTTTTTATTATTATTATTGTAATCTTTGTTGGGTCTATTCTGCCTTGGGTAGATTTGACCCATCAGTTGTTTGGTTAGCAGCCCTCATGGCTCATTAAGCTAAGAGGTGGGTGGGTGGGTTGGGAGGGGGGTTGGTGATACTAAGTGCAGTTGAGTTGATTCTGACTCAGCAATCCTCTATAGGATTTCCAAGGAGTGGCTAATGGGTTTGAACCACTGAATTTGTGGTTAACAGTCCAGTGTTTATTCTACAGTGCCACAAGACCCTCTAAGCGAAGGGGTTGGGGTTGGTTAATTGTGGTGGTTGTGTGCCTTTGAGTCTGTTCCACCTCATAGTGACCCTGTATAGGGTTTCTGAGGCTGTAAATCTTCACAAGAGCAGAAACCCTCATTTTCCTCCTGTGGAGCATCTGAAAGATTCGAACACCTGACCTTATGGTTTGAAGCCCAGCTTGTAATCCACTATGCTACCTGGTTTTCTAGAGTCCTGGTGTGGTGCTGTGGGTTAATGCGTCAGACTGCAAAGCCGTTTGAACTGCAAGGTCGGTGATTCAAGCTCACCAGCTGCTCCTCGAAAACCCTTTACAGGGTTGCTATGGGTCGGAACTGACTTGACAGCACTTCACAGCAACAACAACAACCTGGGCTTCTAAACTAAGAGGGGTTGTTATTGTTGCTAAGTGTTGTTGAGTCAGTTCCACCTCATAGCAGCCCTGTATAGGGTTTCCAGGGAGTGGCTGGTGAGCTTAAACTGCCAGCCTTATGATTCAGACCAACTTTGCAGTTCAGTGCTTTAACCCACAATGCCATAGTAGGCAACAAATGATACACTCAGGATTCACTATATCGTGGAAATCCTGGGTAAAGATGACTCACATGTGTTCATTTTGTCACATGCCTTAAATACACTCTAGGTATTGTATACTGATATGGTATTGTGCCTCTCGTTTCAGATGAGTTCCCACTTGCTCACCTCCTACAGCCTTTCCGACAGTATTACCTCCAAGCTGAACACTCACTGCCAGCGCTCATCCAAATAAGGTAAAAGGGGCAGACTCTCCAGTGTGCTGCCTTCCCTTAGGAGCAAGAGTAGTTGATTTGCTCCTTACATTGTTGAGGTCTATTTCTGTATCTTTTGTTAAAGTTCTTAATGATCTCTATAATGTTTCCAGTGCTCAGGAATGCCATATACATCTTGTTTAATTCTCATTAATCCTTAAGAAGTTTATGGTGGTGTCTGTTTTTTAAACAGATGAGGAAATGGAAACACAGGATGTGACTGGCTTTTTTGTATTATCCCATGCTAGAGCTGTTAGATTAGCTTGAAGCATTGGCTTCCTTTTCCTAATTCTCTTCTCTGTTCTAAACAGACCAAGGAAAAGAAACCCATCCCTGTACTGTTGCCTGTAGACACTATTTAAGACCCATATTGACTTCTGTGCTCTTAGAGGTCAAAGCCATGAAAACTAACAACAAGGGGAACTTCAGTCTCATCTTAATTTGCAGTTACTAATGAGCTGGGACAAGTTTTCAGCTCTTTGGGTTTCACTCTCATCATCTGTAAGATGACGGTAGAGGGTTGGAATGGTGATCTTCAAAACTTTAGTATCATCTGTCTCAAATACATTCTTTTGAGAAATCAAGATGCAAAGCAGAATGAATGGTTCTCCAGGTAGTTTAAATCTGTGTTAACTGAAAACACACTGGTGTTTCTAGACTCCCCCAAAAGCATATGCTGGGGTCTAAGAATCTTCAAAGCATGGTTTGAAAATCACAAAACAAAGTGATCTCTGATATCCCTTCTAAAGCTCTAATGATAATCTGGGATTCTTATGACAGAATATTCTGGGAAAACTGCATCTCTGGTTTATATACAAGTCTTAGCTTTTAAACGTAGTACGCATATTCATTATTTGATTACCCATTAGGTTATAGATTCTAATTTTTAGAGTTTTTCTCCCCTTTAAGTGTACATTTAAGAAGTACAATCAAGTTCTATAATGGATAAGTACATTTGTTGAAACTGAGACCTAAAAATAGAATATTTAGTTGTTGACTATCTTGCTTAGAATTAAACAGAAATAAGCAGATGTTCTACAATGTTCTTCTTAAGGCATGATTGGGATCAGTACCTGGTGCCATCTGATCATCCCAAAGGCAACTCCGTTCCCCAAGGATGGGTCCTTCCTCCGCTCCCCAGCAACGACATCTGGGCAACCGCCATTAAACTACATTAGTAAAGATTGTTCAGAAGTGTGGTCCAGCTGTTACACTTGCCAGCTTTAAATGTTAGAGATGCTGCTATCTTGTGTTGGTGACTAAACCAGAACGTCTGACCTCTGTATGGCATTGCCTTACCCTGAAATTCTGTCTCCCTTCTGTGCTTGGTGCTGGCCGGAGATGTCTCTTAAGCCAGGAGATTGTTACGGTTCTTCAGGAAAGAACCTAGGTCATCTGAGGTTAGCTAGTCACATGGGCAGTGGCTTTAGTTCACCACATTTGCCCCTGTTTTGAGGGGCTTGCCCCAGAGTGATTTATTAATTATCTCTTAACTTCCTTGTTTTGGTAATGGGTAAGTACTCAAATGTGAGGAGGCTTCAGACTGTTAGTGGAAAAATGGAATTTAAAGATACTGGGATTTTTTCACTAACATTTCAAAATATACTCAATACTGGTGTGTGCTGGATACATTTGGCTGCTCTTCCACAATAGTGAGTGTTGAAGACAAAGCCGGATGCACAATCTCCCTGCCTTTCTACCTAAAGAGCCCTTATAACTTCTGGGAAGAAAGCTTAAATAGGCTCTTTATCTTCAGTTGTGCCGAGCCCACTTCTAGTACAGCTTTGGAGGCTGCTGGTAAGAAAGATAGTATTTAGCTCCAGGAGGGGCTGCAAAGACCAGGGCCTGGTTTGGTAGTCATGTTGAGAACTTAGAAATTGAAGAGCAACAGTATCCAAATGCTGGCTGCATTTTCCCCATGTTGTTGTTGTTGTTAAAGTACAGTGGAATCGGTTCCAACTCATAGTGACCCTGCACAGGGTTTCCGAGGCTGTAAATCTTTATGGGAGCAGAAAGCCTCATCTTTCTCCTGTGGAACCGCTGATAGTTTTGAACTGCTGACCTTGTGGTTGGCAGCCCAACTCGTAACCACTATGCTACCAGAGATCCTTTTGCCCCCTGTTAGAAGGACTCTAATGAAAGAACATGTTTTTGAAATTTCTGGTGACCTAGTTAATCAGAACCACTAAGGATAGAAATTTTCCCAATAGGAGTGGGACTTAAGAGGAGCTGGTATAGCTGTGGAATTTTGTTAGCGACTCAGGCCTCCCAAAAGTATTTATGTAGTCAAAGCTAGAGAGAAATTGGATAAAATATAATAAAATATATTTCTTATGTTCATGAATAAATCCTATGACTAAAGATGATCAATCATAGAAAATGTTCAGGGTTTTTTGTTTTATTTTGTCTTGTTTTCTTTTTTTAAACCATTTATTGTATTATTTATATTTCTAAAAGTGAAATAAATGTCATTTTTATTTTTTAGTTTGAGACTTTCTTCCTGATTTGTTGCCTCCAGAATCAGTAAACACAGAATTTATGTTGACAAAACACATTTTCTCTCCAAAATTCAAATTTATTGAATAGACATTTGCTATAGGAAGATGAATCTTGAGAACCAAACTTTGTCAGAAAAATTCAACTTGGATAATTCAGAAAGGACACAAACCTGTTTGCCCCGGCTTCTGTTGTTTACTTTGCATTGTTTAATTTATACATGATGTATTACAGAGTTAACACATGAGGTTCGAGGACCAGGACTCCCTTTCCAAAGTCTATGTCTCAGCTCATAAACTGTAAAATTCTATGTGATTAGCCTCATATCACCCCACAGCTCAATGTGCCTTTTTGTTACAAATCTACCGTTTGCTCTGATGAGATGCAAGAAGAGTAAAAATCAAAATTGAATTGTACAATGTTTGTTTGGTGTCCAGACACTAAACAATGCTTGTTTGCCACCAGAACATGTCTGTATTGATGGGAGATGAAGAGATGGTAAAGCAGGGATTCAGGGGGGATAAACTCAGGCTGAAGAATTCAAGGATTGGAAAGCATTTAATCCCCCAGTGAAAAAGAATAGACTCTTTTCCTTTCATCTGACCTTTGCAAGGTTTTAATTAAGTGAGTGTTGCTTTTATTTTTCGCTTGGTAATTTTCTTCCTGGTTTATTGCCTGTGTTTAGCAGTAGGCATAGGTCCTCTATAATTTTAGAAAGACTGTACTTTTGGGAATATGAACAATCCCAATGTAATCTTGGCCCACAGCCTTATTTTTTTTTTTTCTTAAAGAAAGAATTCAAACATATTCTGGAGTAAAGAATAGTATAATGATTTCTCATGTACCCATCACCTGGTTTCAAATAATTACCAACTCATGGCCAATCAATCCTGTTTCATTATCACCACTCATCCTAAATTATTTTGAAGCAAATCCCAGACATTATATTTCTTCATTCATAAATATTTCATTATCTACAACTTTAAAAAACTTAAACTCTTAAATTTGAATCATCATGCCATTATCACACCTCAAGGAATTAGTCATAATATCATCAAAGTTCAGTCAATGTTGGAATTTCCCTATCTCAAAAATGACATTTTGGTTCAAATCAGGATCTAAATATAATCTGTACATTGTTGTTTGGTGCTAATATTGGACCTAGCTCCATGAATTCATTGGGGTTATAAAATGGTGATAATTCTGTCATTCTTCATTTATTAGCTGGACTATTTCTAAAGAGAAACTTTCCTCAGTGATTTGGTTACTCTGGTATTTAATTTTATAGGAAAGACAAGGGATAAATATTTAATTCCCTTTGTTTACTACTTTTCAAAATAATGAACTGGTTCTCTAGCATCTTCCAAAGGTGGCCAATGAGTATTTACATGTCATTATCATTAGTCTTTAAGTGACATTATGAACCTCAATCTAAACATATTTGTGTTTTAACCCATTTTTATCTTTATTGATTGTCTCACTGTGGGCCAGTGGGAGCCTCTTTGCTTTGGTTCCTGATTCCTTTTGGTGAAAATCCCACTATTCTAGAATCAGTCATTTCTCCAATGGGCTCTGGTTCCTCTACCATGAAGAAAAGTGTAGAGACTGCCATCTTTGTGAAATGGGTGTTCACTGTTACTGGATTAGTCATTATGTCTTGTTCTTTTCAGTCAATAGAACTGGTAACTGTAGTTCTGCTGAGCCTTCAGCCGTTTTGTAAATAATATCCTTTTTGCACCTCTACCTACATTTTCTATATATTGAACATGAATTAATGAAAACAGAAGAATAAAATTCAAAGAATAACTGGAAAGTTACCAGTTATCTGTTGGTTCATCATTCCCTGTATGTAAGAATATTATATTCCCAATAGAGAAGACTCTGGACTTGGGAGAAGCTGTAACAGAGCATTTATTTTCACGAAATTAGGTAAAGACAGGGACGATGAGGAAACTGAAACAAAGATGTTAAATACTAGACGTGTTCGATCTGAGTGGCTGAGTTTATGACATCGGAGGATTTGCTGCTACACGCCAGCTAACTGAATCACTCTACTCTAAAGCCATTCATGTTCTTATGTCCGTGTGACCTGTGGGTTATCAAGAAGCTTCACTGGGATTACACCATCTGTTGTAGTCTTTTACTTCTACATGTTGTATCCATAGGGAAAGTAGCTTGAGAATTACAAGGTGAGTACAGAAGTATTTCCATTCCATTCAAATAAGTGTAATATGTATAGAAGAAGTGTGAATTCTACCAAGTATTAGTAATGATATACTTTAGGGACTAGAGATGATACCTTTTTCAACTAAATTGTTACTAGTATTTTTAGTGCTTAGAACCAGTACACTATTCCTAGATGAGAAGCTATTTACTTTTACCCGCCATATGCACAGTAGTACCAGACCTGCCACCCATGAAGAATTGATTTCCAATGCAATTAATTCTAACTTTTAGAGTAAACTGGACTTACCAAAGATTGAGGTCTTTGAGGCAGTTTGATGTTAAAGAATGTAAGTATATAGAGCAATAGATACTTTTTTTAACTTTATTAATTCACACTTGCCAAAATCTGTACACCAGATGTGAACTGTGTTCTTTGGAAAATGATTTTTATTTACCAGTTGCCAGGTACTGTGTTAGGGGCTGGAGACATAAAAAGGAACAGAACAGACAAGTTTCCTGCCTTGCCTTCTGAGATAGTTGTGGTGATAGTGGTGGTGGTGTGCTGTGCAGTCAGTTCCAATTCATAGTGACCATGTATAGGGTTGCTGAGACTAAATCTTTACAGGAGCAGAAAGCCTCATCTTTCTCCCGCAGAACAGCTGGTAGTTTTGACCTTGAGGTTAACAGCCCGACTCATAACCACTATGCTACCAGAGATCCTTATTAGTCCACAGTTCTTGTTGTTAAGTACCGTGGAGTCGGTTCCAACCCATAGCACAGGATTTCCGAGGTGTAAATCTGTACAGGAGCAGAAAACCTCATCTTTCTCCCACGGAACAGCTGGTAGTTTTGAACTGCTAACCCCGATTTGTAACCACGACGCTACCAGAGTACCTTAGTAGAGAAGCTTAATGATTAGAGTTAAAATTGTGATAAATATTTCCAGAAAAGTATTTACTAATGGATTTATATTTTTCGTTATTTAAATATTTATTAAGGGCTTGTTAAAGTCCAGATAATTTTCTAGGTACAAAGACTAGAATGTTGAGCAAAATACTAATAAACTCTAACCTCATAGAGAATACACATTATAAGGGAAATAGATCCAATAATAATAAATGTGCTGCATTTGAAGGAGGTATATGTCTATGAAATTATGAATTAGGACTTTTGTTTTCTGTAATACATTTAGGTGAAATCATAGTAAATATCAGTATATCATATTCATGGTTGTTAAGCGCCATCAAGTCAGTCCTGATTCATAGCAACACTATAGGGCTTCTATGGAGTGACTGGTGGCTTTGAACCACCAACATTACAGTTAACTGTCTAGTGCTTATCCTAAAGTGCCACACCAGGACTCTGGGTAGCATATAACAAGTGTAAAGTTGACCATTTTTTAGTTTCTATGAAGCGTAGTAGATAATGAGCTGGGTTATTAATTAACTGTAAGGTCCATAGATTGAATCTACCAGTCACTCCATGAGAGTAAAATGAAGTTCTCTGCTCCCGTAAA